CTTTTTCGAACGTTCTGAATTTCAATTTTTCAACTTTGAACGCGTATTACAGCAATATGGATAAGAGCACTGGAATCTATCTATACTTTAGCAGATATTTGGAAAATTGCTCACTGCTGGATATGGATATTAAGATATATAAATCTATTAGGATGAAACTAAAGTTATTTGTTTAGGTTTCATGTCGGATTTCCTGATTGAGCAATTTTTTGTCCCCCCACAAAAGGAATCATTTCACCATTTGTTTCCTCCTGCCCATTACAACACAAACATCCTGCGTTCCGGATTGTGAACGTTTGATACAGACAAAAAAAGACACTCACACACAAGGCACAAGACAAGACAAGACACTCACTCACAAAAAAACAAAGACAACTTTATTTTTCTACGATCATGCTTCATGGGCATTACATATAAAACTTTTACGAGGAGTACTAAATTAAAGTAATACTACGAATACAATGTTTATGCTACTCATAAACGTTTATATCATTTTTTATTAATTTGCGAACACTCCGTGGACGGCTGCATGATGAAAGTTTCGCTGCATATGTTAATAATAAATTTGCCCTGGGAATAATTTTCTCGTCGCGATTGAAGCAAGAGCAACCTAGGATTTCCATAAATTTAATATAAATTAGTCGTACTTTTATTCGTTAAAATAGCAGAGCCTAAACTGTTGAACTTCTACGGAACTTCAACTATTTCAGTGCAGATCTCGTATCTAAAAGAATTCCCTGCAATACACGGATCGATTTCCTGAAGTGAAGAGAAGTATACAAAAAAAATACACACAAAAGTCTAAAAGTAAGTCTTTATTAAATCAATCATTGACTCGGTTAAAAAAAAGCACAGAAGAATCAAAACATTGCGTCATCGCTAAATTTTTGTTCTTATACATTAAGTTTATGCAGTTTTATTGCATTAATGAATAAGCAAGTTATACAAAAAAGAAAAAGGAACAATTTGAAAACCTAAACGAAAAAAATAACTGAACAATAAAATCCAATACAAAAATACGAGAATTTCCATGTATCCTTTACGTGACTTTGGACTTTCATTATTTTTTTTTCTTCTTCTTATTTCTCCGTTCTCTTTTAGGCAAATTGCTTTAATTGAATCCCATTTGGTTTAAAAACACATACGTCGTAGAATCATAACGAGAATTATAAAAATATTTAGAACAAAGAAAAAAACTTCAAGGAACATATTTAAAAATACGGTATGTCTGCGAAACGATTCCGGATGAAGAAAGCTGTTCTTGTTTTCGAGACAACACTACAGAATACAACGGCACAGAAGCTCCGGGTTTTTGTTTTTGTTTTTCTTGCAGTTTCCGCAATATCTTAATTATTATATAATTATTATTTTTTTGTATAATCTTCCTTTGATATTTGCCAGCACGAGAATCCACACAGCCAAAATTTCATGAAGCCGAAAACACATTTAAAAAAAACAAATCTTCTCTATATATATATAACAAAAAAATATTATATAATTAAAAAAAAGAGAGAAAGAGAGAACTATTCACACTCAATAATATCACAATTATAACCATTTTTTTTTCTTTTCTTCTCTCGATTCAATATACATATATTTTTTTAAGTAACAATATCAGTACTAATTGCTGGCTAAGATTCTATAACAGGCAGAAACATACAGAGTGATGCTTATAAAGATGTAATAGAGGAAGTCACAATCTCTGCGACACATAAATTATAAAAAAAAAACAATCTGCATGTCTCACACCTTATGACAGTTTAAAAAGAAAACAAAACAATTTAACTTCTTTTTTCATATATATATATATATAAAAACAACCTGGAGAGACATTCGGAGGAATGTGATTATTTGGTACGTTAGTATTAATAATACAAAAAGAAGCATCAGAGTCTTTGAGTGAAAAGGGGCTTAAATAAATTATTGAGTTGAAATAAATAACAAAAAAATAATAATAATAAAACTAAGAATTATAAAAAAAATATAAACATACCTATTTTTTTTTCCTGTAAGACTTACACACGGTCTCCGCATTTTTTGTTTAAAATATAAAGCGTGATGTTAAATAATGCAATTGTATACTTATTCGTTTCTTTTTTTTTCTTTTTGAGCAATCTATAGATAACTCGATAAGCTATACTCATACACGGTTTTATAACATAGATTCAGTAGTTTTGCGGAAATGTTATGCTTTTTTTAAATACACATCAGTTAGGATAAGATAAGTTCTTCGGTGGTTACTAAGTTAAGGCTTTGTGTATAAATACATAATTTGTTTATAACAAACGTTGATTTACTTCCGTTTTGTTTTGCGACTCAATTGTTCCTCGGTAGCCATTTTAACCTTGTAATCAGCGACGATATCTTTGGCTCTTCTCATCGTAACCAAACAGTTGTCTAGAAGTTCTTCCCATGATTTGCAATATGCTGAAAGAAAATAAATTAAAAAGATGATGATTGTCTGGGGACTGTGTAAATTGCAAACCTTCTTGATCGTACGTAACATCGTCAGCGGTTTTTAAAAGATACTCCGCCTTCTCTGCGGCACTATAGAGAGCTTCTGCTGTTTGTTTATGGTTATCCAGCATCGTGTCCTCAGCTGCTTGTAATTCAGACACCACCTGATGGAAATTTAACATTTCCGGAGTCATATCGTTTTCCTAAATATAAAATTGATTGATGAAATAAATAAAATTTACTAAGGATTTGTTTAATGATTACGTTTAATGATCTAAGTTGTAAGAGGTCTCCGTCGCCTTGTTTATCGTTGAACCCTTCCTCGCCTTGATTCGTTATTACGTCTCCCGCTCCCAACTCTTTTACCCTGTCGGCATAGCGAAGAGTGTTAAGGGTGTGCTCACATGACGCTACCCCAGGCGACAACATGGCAATCATGCAAGTGCGGGAGTTTGGTCCCACGAAGGAGTCTTTCAATACTTGTGTCAACTTGCTTACTCTAAATGGCAAATGAGCGCCCTTGCGACCCAAAGCTCGTATGCACTCCTTTAAAGCTAAGAGCGATTTATTGATTTCTGCTCCCTCCATTCCTACAAGAAGCAAGAGATAAAAATCGAACTATTCTAAATTTTGTAGATTGAGACATACTTGTTTGTCGATTAGCAGACGACGTGTCAACTCCTCTTTCGTTACCAGCTAAATCGATCAGGGAGAACTTGCCGTGGATCTTCTGCAAGTTCACATTTGCCCGGACAATAATTTGGAAAACTGCGTGGGATCTCGAAGAGTTGGAGTTGGCGGAGGTTTGGCCAGAGGTCCTAGCTTGGTTGCCCTTTTGAATAAGCTTCAGTACCTCCTCCGTAGTGGTGACAACTTTCTCGGTTAGACCAACCACTTGCACCTGTTGCTTCCCGTCTTCCAATATGCGCAACTTCACTTTATTGTTCAGCAGATCGAACACCTTGCCTGAGTAGATCTCGAAGAAGCTGGCGGATATAACGAGGTTCATATGTCGGTACTTCGCCGAGTTCGCAAAACGGAACACATCGGATGCCGCCAAAGCGTATATTCCCCTGTTGCAATCCTGAGTTTTGCCGATAAACTCGCCGCCCATTGTGTGGGTCTTACCGGATCCCGTCTGACCATAAGCAAAGCAGGTGGCGAATCCGCCGTCGAAAATGGTCTTTATCAATGGCTGTGCAGTGTACTTGTAGACGATCTCGTTGGTACAAATTTCGTCGAAAGCGTAATCAAATCTGAAGATTTGATTCTCAAGATACTTCGTCAGATCGACCTTATTCTTGGGCTCGTGCACGATTAGCTGATTCTTCGATGGTATTGTTATCACGTCCACCTCTTTCTTGGCGGCCTCCTTCTTGTTCAGTGGCCGTTTCCTCACGCAGACTGTGATCAAGTGATCATCGACGAGATCCGCGTCGGTCAAAGGTTTGATATCCAAGCCTTTCCGATACTCGCTAAAACAAATAACAAGTCAATCGTTTGAATCGCTACCGCACACCTGGACAATCGGTACTTAATCATATTAAGTAACTCCCAGTACGGATTCCCTGGAGCCATCTGCAAGAATGCCTCTTTCTCAGCCTTTTCTTCCGCTTGCCGTTGCCTCCGCTCTTCGCGATTCTTTTTTAGCTTTTCCACTTCTTTCACAACATTGCTCCGCCTTGAATTCTGAAATTGTGATTTTCCGGCTGTGTTTATTTATCGTCCATAAATCAATGATTTCACTCATTTACCTGTATTGCGATGTTGTTACCCCGTGCAGCAACGTTTTCTTTTGCCGCTGCCTGTTGCTGCTGCAACTGCTGTTGCTGTTGCTGCTGCTGCTGCAGCTGCTGTTGCAACTGTTGCTGCTGTTGCTGCTGTTGCTGCTGTTGCTGCTGCTGCTGTTGCTGAACAGTGTCGAGTGTGAACGGGGTTTGTAACATATGCAATCTCGTAGTTCGCATGGACCCTTAAAATGGAAATTTCTCTAAAACCTAATACAGCAAACATTTAAAACACTCACCATTTGTCGGTTTATTATTAGTAGAAGTCATTATAGATTGTCGAGGCGGGTTCTAAAAACAAGAAACATATTAGCAACATTCTAATAAAAAAAACATTACAAAGAATAAGATGACGATTATATGGTTATTAGTTTGCGATTATATAGATATAATGATTAGTGGATACCGAGAGTGTCGTGGTATCTGGCGACAATTGGTTGCTATTGAACTCATCGTCGCTTTCGTCGAGCTTGTGGCTGTAGCGTCCTGAATGAGCCATAGGCGCGCTGATTTCCTCCTCCGACGATCCGGAAGAGTCCTTGCGTTTAGTAAAGAGCAGCATGACAGGAATAGAGGCAATGTTAAGTTTTCAACAGACCCAGCAGTACTGATTCTTAATTACGTCGACCGTCACAGGCGCGGGCTTTCAATAAATTTCAGCAATAAAGAAATACACTTTTTCTTTTCTTTTCTTTTCCCTCCCCCTTTTCTATATTAGTATTGATTTAAGATTAGCACTGCTTTGAAATCGATAGGCACTTTTCAAAAGTACCTGGCACCGGCACGATGATTGATCAAGAAACACCTCTAACACTTACCCGTTGCAATTTTGACGTTTGGTTAAGCGTAATCGGCTCCGCTGATATTTCCGGTTTGTAGATCATAACATCCGGATTCAGCGACTCGATTGCCCCTAGATCGACTTCCTTCCCCTTGGTCTCCCCTTGTTCGAACCATTCTACCGTCGCACTCCTCAAATCGTAGTTTATATGTGCTACGATTGCAGAATGAACACGTCCTAAAATAAACCATACATTTTGTTATTTTCATATTCTTAGTTTATTCATTTAAAATTCATTCCGAATAAAGAACTGCAAATTTCCAGTATGAACATTTGCCTTGTAACTGAAATAAATCATTGTGCTTGGTGAAGCAATTGCAATATCAACGTTAGTTTAAATCTACAATCACGGAATTTCCCATAGACAATAAGTAAGTATTGGCGATCTGCAATTATGTAAATTATATCTGCAATCGTTTTTGATATCACCAAGGCTGCACATAATCTTACAACTGAACAATAATTTTCATTTACAATATCGAAACCCTGAACCAAATACTAAATTATTTAATAGGTAGTGGTAAACATTATCATTGAGACGGAATCAATAAACAGTTGCAATCACAACACACGAATTTTTTTTATCAAAATAGATCAATAATTAAAAAAAGAAAGTATTTTTATATATCCTATAATTAAACAGATCTTATAAACGTGTATATAACTTTTATTTCACAGAATGGAAAGAACTTGAAACCCTCAATAAAAAAATCATTGATTACTTCGTACTGCGCTGTACGTCAATTAAATTATTTAAACTACAAACAGCTTAACTTTAACTAGTAGTTATCATCTTTTATGGTAAATTGAACGTTTATGTCCATTTTAGGTAACGGTTTTGGTCTGGTAAGAATATTTTTCGAGTCCGTTTTAGGAAGTGCATTGAATCCTGACAACAAGGTCACTCATTCACAAATTTAAATTGGATTTAACAATGACCAAAAAAATAAATTTTACAATCATAAGTGATGAGAATAGAAATATTAATAAATTTCATTAATATGTTATTTATAAAACCTTGTAAAGTTCAAAACAGTCAAACAGTTCAATATGTCGACTTAACAGAAACATGTCGACAAACAATAAACAACTGTTCTCGCTATTATTTGTTCGTTCTAATTTGATGAGGCGCATTTGTATTAAATTTGAATAGGTTTAACGGGGAGCGCCTCCCATACAACAATAATAATAATAATGAAAAATAAAAGAATAATGTATTATTGCAAAGTGTAAACGGGAGACAGATACGATTTCTGGTTTCTATTTTTTCTTGCGATAATTAATGGGGAATGCAAATACGACCGAGCTTCTTAATATGGCGAGGTCGTGGGCCGAGGAAGCCTTGTTCGTGGTGGTCGGCAGATTTGGTAGGTCTCGAAAATGGTAGGCTTTTGGAGCGGTTTCGGAGTCGGGAAAGGAACTAACTGGAATGGAACGGTACGGCGACGTCGACGATCGGGGAGCCGGCAAGCGGTACCATCAATTGATCGGTTCAGAACTTTGTTTCCGATACAATGGGCTATTGAAAAGGCAGGTACGAGAGGTAGGTTCGACCTCGAAGCGACTGCGAAGGGTCCATATTTGGAAAGCATGCTTCAAATGGTTTACGTCATCCCATTTCTAAAACCAAATTTTTCGCTCACACAATTCACAAGATGACAAAAAAAAGAAGTAATAATAATATGAATTTATAATAATTGTAATTTCTGACAGCACAATAAATTGAATATTAGTTTCGTTTTTAAAGAGTCTAATGGGAATATATGAGTATTAATATAAAATGTTGCACGCAAAGGGTGAATCGATAATTGTTTATAGATAAAGGGTGTTAAGGGAATTTGTTTTATTTTTCTAACGTTTTGAATATCAAAACCGCGGCTCTGCGACTCCCACGCCTGCTCATACCAATATTTACTTTCTTCCGTGGACAGGTGACTCATTGTGTGTAGCGAGATTCGAAAGATAATTGATTGCAAAGACACATTTCGATTGTAATGCATGCACGTGAAAGAAAAGTCACGAAGGAAGAGCCATTGTGCTTAGGTTAAAACAAGAAATGTATGCTCCCACGGAAACTATAGAAGCTTAATTAATAAAGAAGAACCATCGTTCGGCCAACGGACTTCCTTAATTTCCATCACGAATTTCGGCGGCGCGATTTAATTACGTCCATCCAAGAATAGTGCATCCGAAGAGGTCTTTGAATCACGCATACTTTATTCTAATTATACATTAACGGCATGCGAAAAGGAGCAAATTTCATGTTGACTTATTCGTATTTCCATTTTTTTTTGCTACTCGATGTAACGGTCAGAAATTTGAATTTTCAAACTGATAACAGCCAATGGCAGGCGGCTATCTAACCAAACCGTCTTGGATTCGCATGTCTCTATGTCTTCGCATTTTCTTTAGGAAAATCCGCATGTCTTCGAGATCTTGATCCGTTGAAGAGGATTAAAGAAGGAAAATAATGTTCTTGTCGGCGGTGTATGCGAAAATCGATTGCGGGACATCAATCAAAGAGCGCTGTCTACTCGTACGAAAATCCTCTCAAGGGTTGCCCGGCTCGAGGAAGACCTTTCTCAACGGACTCGAAGAACAACAAAAAAAAATACACACATACACACACAGGTTGGAATAGCCATGCTTACCATCGGTTCTCTTAATGTTGATACTAGATCCTATATGTAAAACATCTGCACTATCCATTGTGAATTATAACTTTGGTGAACGGTTTACACTTGATGTATCACATATACTATATATCTATAACTTAAAAATAATGCGTATTTACAAGGATCTGCCGTGGAACGATCTGCTAGGGACGTTTCTAGCGGCGGCTCAACATTACATTTACAACACTTATGACTTATGACTACACATTCACACACACAGCAATGTACAGAGTATTCCGTCTGTGTCTGTCAGTGTAGAGCTACACAAAATGGATTGACTATACCCATGCGCACATCCACCCGGGAGTTTCAAATGTTATTTCCAATTGCTCGGATTAAAGTTGAAGCTTACCAAAGCTTACTATCAAAGACTTATTATTTAAAAACTTCTTCCGGATCACAAAACACGTTCTCCATAAAATTTCCTCCTCCTCTGATACTCCCTTCTAGTTATATAAAAATTCATCTTCGTAGCACTGAAATTCTTTAAATAGGTACCTATTTTTGAGTAGTTCCAGCAGCAGGCTTCAATTTACCGCCTTAAAACTACATAATATTATTTTTTTTTCTCGTTGAGAGTTTGCTGGAATTCCAAACACACCAGTTTCGTTTAGCTTTATAAATTAAGATAATAATTTCTTAATATAAAAAATCTAAAGAAATCGAAGAAAGCGATCCAAATTAAAAAATTAAGAACAAAACCGTTTTATAAATATATCAATAAAATTGATGATTCAATTCAATTTGTTAATACCAATTTGAATTGTAGTACTTAATACAAGAAATGACCTTAGACTTTTAGGTGGCAGAGTAAAAAATATTTGATTCATTAATTGAAATATTTGTGGCTGAACTGTATACATAATGAAATGAATAATGAGGTAAATAAATCATTGATGAATTTAATGGCATATTTAAAAAATAAAAGGACAAATGTGACAATAATATTTGTAAAATGCGATTAAACTTTATTATATACATGGACAAATGATCATTTTTGTTGTCCATCCGTTATATAAGATTGACAAATGGCAACGGTGTGGTCCAAACCACAGAAAACCTTATTCACAAATGCACCAATAGAAACCTGTAAAATAATGGCATTACTAAATTGGACAAATGTTTTAAGAAGTA